TTAAAGAATTTATTTTGGATAACATAATTATTTTAGATTAATTATAATATTTTTAGAATTTATGTTGTGGAAGGAAATTATTTTAGAATGATAAATGTTTTTAAAGAAGCTATTTTGGAAAAAGATTATTTTTGTATTATGACCGTGTGATTGATAGTTGTAGAACACGACATTTCATGTACATTGACACCAACATGTTGACACTCTTATTTATACTCACTCATGTCATATATGCACACCTGATTCATCGCTAGCTTATATAGTCATGTTCATCATATGATTTGTATAAAATTAGTTGTATTTATTTATTATTTCTTGTTTTGTTAAGAACCATTAGTGGTTCATGTCCTTAGTTGCCTAGCGTGTCGTGTACGAGACCTAGATACCTGTATATTGTTGACTTAGAAAGCGAGAAGAGTTGGGATGGGGAATTCTTGGTTCATGTGATAGGATGTGGATGTTTATGTATTTTCCAGGCTCGCACTAGTAGATCGTTTCACTCTGGGGTGGGTATGAGGAGCAGTGATATCGTGGTTGTATATCGTGGTTGTTGGTTATTTTCCAGGCTCGCACCAGTGGATCATTTCACTCTGGGGTGGGTCTGAGGAGCAGTGATATCGTGGTTTTATATCGTGGTTGTTGGTTATTTTCCAGGCTCGCACAAGTGGATCGCTTCACTCTGGGGTGGGTCTGAGGAGCGGGGATATCATTACACGTAGAAGTGAGATTTGGACCAGCGATCTGTTATAGGATAGCTAGTTACATGACATTGTTACTTAGATGATTATGGATTCTTGTGAGATGAGGACTAGTTATATTTCTTTTCATACATAGTTCGGGATTAATATTTAATTATCTACAATGTGAGACATATGGTATATACATGAGGGTTTTCTTGTTTGGATTAATTTGTTCGACGTACTACGTCTTTTGTTATAGATTTTTAAGTATTAATTCAATCTATTTGTATGACATGGTTACCTGGATGATTATTCTGATGGCTAGCTGCATGATCTTGTTACTCAGATGTTTATGATTTCTCCTGATTGTTATACTCTAGTAGCAGATTGTATCTAGCTTGTTAGTATTCTAGTTGCATGTTCCTATTGTTACTACTATTATTACATGATCCGGTTTCTGTTATTGCATTGGTAACTCTTCTATTATCTGTTATTGCCTTGGTCGTTCGACAGTTTCTTTCTCCCTTGTAGGATCTTACCGTGTGTCATGCACGCTGACGTACACCTGTTTTCTCTGGTGTACGTCAGATTTAGGAGACATACAACCTCAGTTTGGAATCGTACAGGAGCCAGATGATTCTCAGTAGGAGCTCCTTGCAGGTGGAGTAGAAGAGCAAGCTGAAGCGTAGTAGTTTTCTTCTATAGTAGCTGATGAACATTAAAACCCTTTTACCGTACTTTTCTTTAGTTGATGATGGATTTAGTATTTTAACAGTACTTTCTTTATGGACTATGTATTTCTTATTTTCTAGTTGGATTGTTTTGTAATAAGGGTATGTTTGACCCATATATTTTTATGTCTGGGATGATTTACTGTTGATGATATGTTTATTTCTTATTCTGGATTGTCTTTATATTCTTGTTATTGTGATCGGGGACCTGTGATTGAGATTTATGTATTTGACGCTTAGCACATTAGATTGAGAAGAAAAGAAAAAAAATGGTAGTGTATATTTTTTCTCAATCTAATACGTCGTGGGCTTGTTCACGTCTCGAATCCCCGATATTTTAGGAAGCGGGGTGTGACACTATTGGACGAAGCTCACTTAGGGTAGCTTCGATGTGACTTCTGCGAGCTTCACTGTGGCTTCGGTGGACTTTGCTATGTGGCCCACATGGACTATTTGGGCAAAGCTCGTTTTAGGTGAACTTCACTTGAAATTTCACTTTGACTTGGTCTTGAGAGCGAGCTTCATTATAACATAGGTGAGCTTTCCTATGGCTTAGGCGAGCTTTGCTGGTAAGTTCAGATTTGACTCAAAATCTTACTTGAACTCATTTATTAACGCGACCGACTTGAGGATACCTTTCAACTCGACTCAGAGTCTAAATTGGAGATGCATTTCGCCCTAGAATTAGAGTTTGACTTGAGAATGCCTTCTGACTCGGCCTAGAGTCTGACTTGAGGACTGACTCAAACTTAGGTCCTCTTTGGCTCAGATGTAGTCATGTTCGTATTTGATCTAAGTGAACTTCATTATAGCCTATCATAGGCTAATGCTTGAGCTCATCTAAAGTGTCTAGCCTATGGGTGTTTACTTTTTGGACTCAAACTCAACACTAGTCCAATAGAGTATATTTTAACTGTTTACAAGAGTGCATCAACTTCTAGTTATGCCTTCCTACTGAATGGCAGGGTCATTTTATGGTGTAGTAAAAGCAAGAGTGCATTGTTCTTTCCACCATTGAGGTAAAATATGTAGCGGCATGTGTAGTAGCAAAAGAGGCAGTTTGGCTATGTAGATTCTTAGAAAATCTAGTAATAGTGCCACATGCAGAGGATAAGGTGATCCTTTATTGTGATAGCATGTCGGTAATTGCCCATTGGAAAGACCCAAAGTATCATGGGAAATTCAAGCATATCCAAATTCGATACCATTTCATCAAGAAGCAAGAAAATGAGGAGGTCGTGCTGAGGTACATCCCTACAAGTCAGACGATCGTGGATCCACTGATGAAGGGAATAGCCAATTAGTGGTTCATTCAGCACACTAGAGCCTTAGGGCTACGTCCATGGTGTCATTTTGAACTAGTTAGGACCTGAGATACTTAGGATACTATGGATGGTAGCTTTATGAGACATTTTTTATTTTTGATAGATATTTTCTCATCTATATTTATGCACATCTGGGATTAGCTTATGTCTTAATATTGTTTGATTATTTTGGCATGGAGTATATTTGTATGTAATGTGTATAGTGTTATTTTGGCATGGAGTATATTTGTATGTAATGTGTATAGTGTATACAAAGAGCACTAGGTGTACCATTATAAAGTTACATCAAGAGGTAGGAGCTCTTATCACACAAGAGATCCCCTTTGGAGTTATGGCAGTTACCAAAGTTGAGACCAAGTGCCGGATGTCATTTGGCTAGAAGCAATGATACCACTATTGCATTACTGGGTATGGCAATAGTGGGAACGCTCTATTAGTTGACCCGACTAGGTCAGAATAAGGTTTCTACATACTTATATGTTAAAGCAATCGAAGTGAAAACCCCAGTCCACTTTACCTATTTACTATCAGCCAAACTAGCGATCTGACTTGGCGTATGGGATGCAAGCTTGTCAGGAGATCCCAGGCATATTGCGGGGCAATATGGCTGGACAAGTTCATTATAAGGTAATGAGACTTAGGTATGTATTGTATTCATTTGATGATGTATGCTCTCAGGGAGAGAGAAGTAATACCGTAGCACGTAGCTATATGACGTGTGCTTAGAACAAAAATAAGGAGATCGAGGGATGGATCCCTGCTCCCTCGCTGTGTGAGCCTGTTTGTGGAAAATTTGATGTAAAAGAAATGAAAGAAAAATTAATTTGTATTCTCTCAAAATCGATTACATGTTTGTGGAAAATTTGATGTAAAAGAAATGAAAGAAAAATTAATTTGTATTCTCTCAAAATCGATTACAATTTGGATTCCGATTACAAAAGAGAGGAGAATGAATTTAATTCTCCCCTTTGTTTAAAACTGGGTTCTTCTTGATAGCGATGGAGTGCCTCCTTCGATTGCTCGCGTCGAATTCGCTCTACGTTGATGATCCGACCGTCCTATCTCACGAGAACAATTAACTTGTGTGACAAGTTTGTTTGAGAAGTCTTAATGAGTTTAAGAACTCAGAACGAGTTGGAAACTCTAAAAAGAGTTGTTGAAAACTGAATAATCGATTAGTGTAATTAACTTTGCGTTGCAAGTTTAATTAAGAACTCTTAACGAGTTTTAGAACTCAGGGCGAGTTGAAACTCTGTAACAGAATTGTTAGAACCAAAAATTCAGTTAATAGCCAAGTAGATCTGCCGTTGGTGAAGGGATTCTCTGAGATTTGATTAACTAACTGCCGATTAGTTCGTTGATCTTCAGGAAAATCGCCTTCTCCGTGCGGTTTAGCTGTCGAGACCGATCAACCCTTTACTCAGTTGAGTAATGTGGTTATTTATAGGGGGATAAGGGGTGTAACCAACCCCTAAATCTGCTCCTATGTGGGTGAGAATCCCTCAGAATGTAGGATAAATGGTTGTTAGGCCGTTCAACCTGTGTTTGAACAAGTCAAACGCCTAACTTGATGTTCTGAGTCTTAACTCTGCGCCTAAGGTTTGAGACGCGAGTTAAATCTCTGCTAGAGATTTGAAACGTACAGGCCGCTCGTGTGCTGAATCTCAACTCTGCGTCTTGAGTTTGAGACGCAGGGTTGAGTGTTTGCTGAAGAACGCACAGTCTGTGCATTTTGTGTTTTAACTCTGCATTGCATAGTTGAATGTCTGCTGGAGAACGCACAGTTCATATGTGTTTTGAGTTTGGGAAACGCAGAGGTAGACTCTGCATTTGGGAGAGGTTGTTGGCTTGTAACCTCGTCCATTACAACATCGCAAAGGCTACTGCTCATTGATCTTTGCTTGTTATGGGGTGTGAAAGTCGTCAGATTGTAACTCTCACAGTTGGTTATGAAGGCTACTGAATAGAGTTTTCATCATGTAACTCTTCTTGATCTATGTGAAAAGTCCTCTGTTTGTAGCTTTTGTTTGTTGAAGCTTGATGGGGATCAGCTATCTATTGTGATTTTTAGACAGCCTACAGAACCCCCTCTAAAGTTTTCGAAAGTTCGCGGTTGATTGGGATGAATTTTCGGAATACTTTGGATCCCAAAAGGTTATTCACTTCGTCTAATTTGAAGACATTGTGAACTTGGTTGTTGGAATGCTGAAATTATGTTTCTTCGAACCAAACAAGATAGCTTTTGAGTTTTGATGACAATGAACTTAGTCAAACAAACTAAATCCCAAGTCATCGTCAGACTCGCTAACAGGCTCGTCATTCTTCTCTTTTTCCTTAGAGGCAAGAGCAGCAGCATTCTCAACAGATGCCACAGAGATAACAACAACAACAAGGACGTTCTTGTAGGCATTGACGAACATGTGAAGCGTAGCTGCAAGAGTTGGGTAAGAGAGAGTCAAGGATAGCGAAGCAACTACAGAAACACCAACTGCAAACTTGTCAACGAGGTCATCCTCCGTGAGGTTGAGCACCTCTGGGCTTAAGACAGATCCATTGTCATAGACAGAGAGAATCGTAAGCCCATATGAGAATGGCTTTATCCCAAGTTTAGTCAGGAGGGCAGCCTCAGAGGGACCCACTTTATTTCCTTTCTTGATCAGCTCAACTGGGGTGATGATTTTAGCAATATCATCATTACTCTTTGTTGGGATGTTAAGCCATTTAGAAGAATGAGTTGCGCGTAGCTCCTGTCTTCATTAATCTTGGTGGGAACGTTAAGCGATTTAGAAGAATGAGTTGTGCGTAGCTCGTGGCTTCATTAATCTTTGTTGGGATGTTAAGCCACTTAGAAGAATGAGTTGTGCACAGAATTACGTTTGACAGTTTTAGCGTTGCCGATGGTAATCTGTTTGTACTCATCCAATAGACTCCCCAGCGGAGTCGTCTGTTTCTTCTCGGCTTTGGTCACCTTGATAGCTAACATCAGTCTTTCTCTCTATTTATTAAAGCTATGTTTTGGCTTTAAACGTTGAGAAATTCATTTGATAGCGTTCAAAACGCACAGGTGGATTCACATGCTTGAAAATTGAAATGCAGAGTTGAACTCTGCGTTCAGAAGGTCAACCAACGTAGACGCACAGGTCGTGTTTGGCAGGATTCTAGGCCTAGAATCTCGCCCTGATTTGATAGCTCACAGCTGTCTATAAATAGACCGTTGGGGTCAAATCAAAAGTCATCCGACTTTTCATCTGTCTTCTTTCGAAAATCTTAACGAAAATTTCGTTTTGAATTCCGGTGAACCCTGTTCATCTTCTCTGATCATCATCCTTAATGGGTCCGAGAAAGAAGACTGTCTCCCATCAAAGGTCGGCCGCTGCCACTGCTCCGAGTTCTCGGTCAACCTCGGTTGTCGGTGGTGATGAAACTCAGGCTGGTGCGCCGTCGGTACAGGCTTCTCTCGTCGGTAGTAAGTATCGACCTTCATGGCCATAAAACTTGCTTCAGTGAGTTCTCTGAAAACCCTAGATGGGTTCTTGTGAATGAGGAAGATGACTCGTTTTGATATTGTAACGTAGAGTTGGAACTTTGCGTTTTGAATTTGAAACGTTAGGGTCCGACTTCTGCGTTAATGAGTTTTGACGCATGGTCTGGGCTGTACGTTAGAAAGTTTAACGCAGAGTTTGACCTTTGCGTTGATAAATTTTAACGCCAGGTCTGAATTGTGCATTTGAAAGCTTGACGCAGGGTTCGACCTTTGCATTGATAAATTTTAACGCCAGGTCTGAATTGTGCGTTTGAAAGCTTGACGCAGGGTTTGACCTCTGCGTTTGATAAAATTTTAATGCCAGATTTGAACTGTGCGTTTGAAAGCTTGACGCAGGGTTTGACCTCTACGTTTGATAAAATTTTAACGCCAAATTTGAACTGTATGTTTGAAAGCTTGACGCAAAGTTCGACCTTTGCGTTGATAAAATTTAACACCAGGTTTGAGCTGTGCGTTCGAAAGCTTGACGCAGAGTTCGACCTCTGCGTTGATAAAATTCAACGCCAGGTTTGAGCTGTGCGTTCGAAAGTTTAACGCAGAGTTTGACCTCTGCGTTGATAAAATTCAATGCCAGGTTTGAACTGTGCGTTCGAAAGTTTAACGTAGAGTTCAACCTCTGCGTTGATAAAATTCAACGCCAGGTTTGAACTGTGCGTTCGAAAGCTCTCACTCCTCTAAGGATTTTGACTAAGGTTCTCTTTGTTTTATTTCCTCGTTGACTAATTGAGTACTTTTCTCTTTTGTAGTGCCTTACTCCCGCGAACCTCTTACTCTTCGTCACCATTTCGGGCGCGAGGGTGGCGTGGATTTAAATATGCAATTCAATCTGCGTCAGGAGCTCCCAATTTTTCAGGATGCAGACAAGGATTTTGTTACCCTGATTTCCCATCCAAGCCCAACTGTACTCAGGATTTTGGTGATAGATGCCAAATTCAAAACCGACTCCCACAAAAAGCTCACCAAACCGGCATTCATGTTTGGCGATCATGTCGTCATCCAAAAAGAGATCGTGACTGATGGCCATTATAAGTGGTTGAGGCAAATAGGAGATCACCGCTTCTTCCTCCCTGATATGCATAAGATGTTTCCTATCGCTTATTATCAGCGTGCTTCTGTCTCTCGACATATGGATTGGGACCTTGTCCGGGAGCAGGATGGGGTAGCTGTCGGGGCTTTGACTTACACAGGTGTACACACTATAGGTTACAACCACCAGGTGTTAGCTTTGGAACCCTGCCTATTCTTAAGGGGATATCCCGTTGGAGAAACAGCTAGCATAGCCAACACTTTCATGCAGAGATTTTTGGATGTAAAAGGGGAGTTCCCTCCTTCAGTATTCAGAACTCCCGGATGGGTTCATTCTTCCCGAACGGGGTGGTGGGCAAGAATGACAGGGTTCATGTTGACAGAGCTAGAGGAATCATTAGCTCGATTTGGACTCAGTTGCCCTATAATGGCTACCAGATGCGGCATTGACTGCAACTATTATAAGTTTTTCGCTATTCTGGAGAAATACAACCCGGAGACGTGTACATTCTTCACACCTGTGGGGGAATTAGGGTTTGCCCTCCACGGAGACGTGTACATTCTTCACACCTGTGGGGGAATTAGGGTTTGCCCTCCACGAAATGTATGACGTTTTGTGTCTTCCTTTTGGAGACTTGCCCTATGAGGAGTTCATCCCAGGGTCAAATGAGCTTAGGATTTTGAAGGAGATGCATCCTGACGTCTATGACACTCTATGGGAAGTAATGTGTCATTTTCAAATCTGCACCCAATTGACGGGGACACGAGGACGAGGTATAAAGCAGCTATCCTGGGCTGAATATCTATTCTAGAATTTGTCCTACAAAACTGCCGATGTGTCTCGTCGGAGTGTGAGCACCCCTGAGACGATCCAAGCTTTGATCAACGATGCTACGGCCCATTATGTCAATAAGGGATTAGAAGAGGATTTTCCTATGCAGACTGAATTTGAAAGTTTCCATCACCAGGCTGCTGTGCCTATTTCTGACATGGCCTTGTTGGCAGGCTTTCTCATGCTGTGGCTAAAGTGGTGTGTAGCCCCTACCAGGCCGATAGATGTTGTGATGATAGAAGTGGTCTACCCAGCAGTTCTCTTGGCTTATGGGAGGCCCGTAAATTTGCTTTCAGCTATGACGTGCTGTCTGCAGCACGGTTTGAGGGAGCTATGTCTTGAATTTATTCAGGTGAAAGAGACATGCTCTGGAGAAAAGAAGAGTTTGGTGACTCCAAACCCTCGAGTTCCCCTACCGTATACCTATTTGATGGCATGATATGTATCCTACTGTCCTCTTTTGATGAGTGCCTCATCTCCCTCGGACAAAGGATTCGTCCCTTTTGTACAGAGATTGGAAGGAGCTACTTGGGAAGGCACATATGTAGTGAGGGTTCGTCAAATCTTGTCGAGAGACCTCAACTATCACCTATTCCGCTGTTTCCCAGACTTTGAAGGCGGTGGCTATGGGCAAGTGTTCCAGGATATAGCTAGCACAGATGGTTTTACCCGTTTAGATGGAGGGGTCTTCCACTGGCTCTTGAACATTAGACCAGGTTATCTTCTCCTTAGGCAAGGTGATAAATGTATAATTGAGTCGTATCAACCGTACAGATTTGTTCGGCAATTTGGATACGATCAATTATACATTAGGAATCCCCGGAGTCAGCTTGCAATTGTTGGTAACATATACGAGGGGGCTCGGGCCTGGTACTACTCTACCGCAGGCTACACTAGAGCTACCTTTAGGTTACCTCACAAGACGCCTAATTCTCTCCTCTCCATAGCTTTCTGTAACTGGTATCACACAGCTTCCAAGATACCTGATTACATGTTGAATTTGTTGGGGCTACGGGAAATTAGGAAGATGTACTCATCCAGAAGAGGATCCTGGGTATCTCGTCTGAAGGGAATTAATGAGTTCTTATCTTATGAAGATGAGGCTGAAGAAGAAGAATGAGATCTGGGACCAGAGAGTGCTCCAGTAGCGAGCCCTAAGGCTGCTGAAACTCCAAGAACAAAAGCAGTTAGAAAGAGGGCTCTTACCGAAGAAGAAGCAGTTCAGTACGAGAAACGTACTCGTAGGAAATTATTAGTAGAGAAAGAGGGCTCTTACCGAAGAAGAAGCAGTTCAGTACGAGAAACGTACTCGTAGGAAATTATTAGTAGACCCTCCTTCTCAGAAACTAATGGCGGATGCTTTCAAGTCTGCTGGGAGAGAGGAGGAACAAGAATCTACTGTTGCCAATCATCCCCTCCATACAGGACTTCGCTCTAGGGGTCCCGCTTTTTCTAGTGAATTTTCTTCTTATCATCCTTTGGAAGAAGAGGGCGGGGATGAGTCATTGATTGGGGATGTGGAGTCTTCTCCTACCATGGACCCTATCATTTCACTATTTCCATGTCAGCCTTCAGATGCTACTCTTCTGACTACGGAGACGTCATTTGTAGTGTCTCCTGCTAAAGAGATTAGGCCTCCTACAGATGAAAGTCAATCTCCTGCTGCTTCTGTGTTACTGTCACAGACGGGGGCTGCTATTCCTAGTCCAACGACCGGCATTATGACTAAAGCGGATGCCACTGCAAGTTCTCCTGGATTATCGACTGCGGATGATGAGGAACTGTTAGACTATGGGACCTCTTCCCGTAGCGATGATGCTGACGAGGAGGAAGGTGATGGTAGTGAGGAGGAAGGTGATGGTGATGAAGATTCCACCGGCTGGGTTGATCTGCCACCACCTTCTTTTGACAAGGCATCTGCTTATGTTCCTTCTTCCCCTCTTAGTAAAGATTACACCTGCTGGTTTCTCTAGACTTTTCTTTCTTTTGTGCTAACTGCTCTTTTGTGCAGGTTCTCCAACTCATGAGGCCACTGATAAGACTTTGTCTCCCAAACAACAAGCAACAATTGTCTCTCTCCCCGAGCCAACGCCGATAACGACTACTTCTTTGCCAGAAGAGTCCCCCCTGCTAACGATTTCTCTTAAGTCTGCGGGGAACGGAGAGTGCGCTGAGTTCAGACCATGCAGGGACGCTCATGACTCTTCCTTCCAGTCCTTCACAACTGGATATTTCTATGGCTTCCCCAGCTTCTTCACGATCGTCGCCAACAGTTCTTGCGCCGGTGTCCACCATTTTAGGCTCTCCGATTACATCTCCTGTAAAGTCTTTAAGTCCAGTGGTCATCCCCTCCATGCTTAAGATTCTTGTGCGACCTCTGGAGGATATGATGAAGGTGGCTATTGAGGAGGTTGGTGCCGGACGAGCTACATTTGACTCTTTTAAACCAATACTCATGCCTTTCTTGAGCGGCATTCGATATGTTGATGACGCTCGCTGGTTTTAGCACTATTCAGAGAGTATCTCTTAATTGGAGAAGGATCTGAGGGCTTTGGAGGAGTTGCACAGTGTTGATCTTGCT